TTTTTTTTTTTTTTTTCAAGCAGATGCTTCCAGCTAAAAGGACTGAGGCTGGCCGTCAGGACTGTCAGGAAACACCCCCCTTAAAATTCCAGCTTTCTATCTTTTCTGGTCCTCGAGTTAGCAGCTTATCCGCCAAAAACCTTGACGGGCCCGTATTTGGGAAAAATGTGGGTAAGACCACCAGTTCTGAGGATGAGGGCCCGCGTGTGTATGTAAATTAACTTTCCAAAGTTTCAGCCTTGTAGCTTTTGTAGGTCTCGAGATGGAGAATCGGCACACATGCAGACACAGACAGACAGACACACAAAGAAGAACAACCCCTCAACAATATGCGTCTTTGCATTGCATAGATGTAAAAAAAAAAAAAAACGCATAATAAAGCATATGAGCTGAACAAACAAATTCTGCTCAAGAAAAAGCAAAAAACTATAACAAGTACAGCGTTAGAAGCCAAAAACCGACCGAAAACGACTTTGGGTGTCTGTACCTTATCATTAGATGACTCTGCTTCCAATACTGGGCGATTGCCAAACATAGGCGTATCCAGGGCGTGCTGCTTCGGGAGGTGGGGGAGGGGAAAAGTGGGGCTTCTGTGAGGAGAGGGGAGGAGGCACGAGGGATGAGGAAGAGGGTTTTGGTCAGTTTTAACTTTAGACCCGTACTTTTGTAACACTGGTGGAATGTGCCATTGGAGGGGGTGGAAGACTCATCGCCTCCCCTCCCCCCAAATAGGTGTTAATGCACTTAAATCTATCCCCCTGGATGGCGCGGTACTCGCGTACGGGGACGCCAAGTTTTTTTTAGCACAAGTTCAAAACTGGGTTGTCTTAGAATCTAGAGCGCAGAAATCATAGGATGATATTCGCCGTCCAAGTAGGTGCGTTTGTCAAATAATCCATGTTCATTTGCATATACAACTGCGGTTCAGGTCCGAGTTGCCAACGACTTTTGGGTTGAGGAGCTGCTTGAGGCTATGGTTGGAGAGCTAGAGAGCTGAGTTTAAAATTTTTGTCTCGCACCCTTCCCTCTCTGGATTTGCCTATGTTACCAAATAACAGAAAGGCAAAAACCACTATAAAACATATTCTGTGTGACATACCGTGTAAAGAACGAACGAGAGGGCCACAAATAGACTCAACGGCATCATAACATATTCCGGATTAATTGATACACCCATACGTCCGGTAACGGGAACGAAGAAATCAAAGAGTAACATAGCTGCGTAGGCATCAAATACCATTACTGGTACCGTGCATAATAACTGCGTGAAGAGTAAGCAACGAGGTGTTACCCCTGTAAAAATTGAGGTGAAACTACTGAATAAAATGAGTTACTGCTTTTCCACCAATGAAAATGTGGCATTTCAATATCTCAAAAAATGCCATTTTCATCCAGCAACACTGAAACTTTTCGATAATAAATAATTGATCAGCGCACCGACTGTCGATGCGAAGATGCGTTTTTTGCATAGTTCCTCGCAGGTTTTGCCGCTAATGGCACTGTTTTTTACGGCAGATGTTTCTAGCTCAAAGAATTGAGACTGGCCACCAAGTCTGTTAGAAAACATTCTCTTAAAATTTCAGCTTTCTAGCTTCACTGGTTCTCGAGTTAGCAACTTACCCGCCAAATTTCCACGAGTCCGTACTTGGGAACCACGTGGGTAAGAGCGCCAATTTTGGAGATGGAGGCCTGAACGTGCATGTAGATTAAGTTCCCAACGTTTCAGTCTTGTGGCTTTTGTATGTCTTGAAATGAAAAATCAGTACAGACGAATAAACAGAAATAAACACACACACATAGACAATCCCTTCACAATATGCGTTTTTGCATTGCATAGACGCAAAAAATGCATAAAAAGTAATTATTTCCTCTCCTTTTTTCCTCTGTTGGTGTGCCTCGCGCAGTGATAAACAGCGTTACCCTCATGCTGAAGAACGAAAGTTCGATTCCACCAATGGCGCAACTAATCCCCCGACAATTCCTTCATCAGTTTTTATGTTAAATAGGTGCTGGTACATGCCAAGGAATCCAACTTCCCACCGAGCCCTGTCCAGACAGCCCACGAAAGAGGAAATCACCAGTACCCTTCCAAAGCGCGTCTGCTGTTGACATTTACTAT